GAACGTACGTACGGGATCCAAGAACCAAACTTGAGTACCTACTCGTTTGGGGGTACCACCCACCCAACAGTGAACACTACGCTGTCGGTTTCTGGTTGGCCTTAAGTGAAGGTAAGTTTAAGATTTTCAAAACCCTTTTATCTTAAACTAGGCCTAGCTTAGGGATTCTTTAGAAGTACTTTATACTGGAATATAGTTTAATTATTTAAACTAGAATTTGTTTAAGAGTTGATAAACATTAAAGTGACTGGCCTTAGACTAAGAATAGTTTAAGGATATTATTGAATGTTGAATATTGAATATGAATGTTGAATATTGAATATGAATGAATATTGAATGATGATTATTGAATTGAATATTGTGAATATTATGAATGACCGATGAACATTGAATATGAATTTAAATGTTGAATAATGAATGATGAATATTGACTAATGATTATTGAATATCTGAATTGAACATTATGTGCATGATATCAAATGATTTGATTATGAATTTAGATTTAGTTTATATGTATGTTCAACGCATTAGATATGTTTACTCAGCTTCAACGCTGAGCGTGTAGTATGTTTTAGTTGCTACACGCAGGTTAATAAAAAGAATGAAGTGACGTGATCCTGGAGGCAGACGGAGGCGAGATTGTCGGAATGGATGTGATGGTTTTGAATTAAAGAATATAAATAAATTATGTTTGTGATTATGATTTGTTAAGCTTCTGCAATATTGAAAACTCCGTACTGTTTATGATATGAAAAATATTGTTGTGATAAATAAAAGTGTTTGAAATGTTTTAAATTTTACGATTACCAAGTTAATACTTTAGTCCGAAAGGGGCTGCAGACCTGGACGGATTAGGGTGTTACACACTACGCTTATTAATAAAATATTATAATTTTAAATTACAACTGTAAAACTTTCAATCCTACTATTTACAAGAGCAACAGGAAAAATTGTGCGGGAACGGTTACAATTATGCTTTTACCCAACCTTCCCACGATCTCACGCACGGGAGCCGGAGTCCTTTTTTTCTTCCATCAAATTTCAGAGAGTTTTTTTCCTTCCCCATCAAATGCGCTGCATGAGCCTAGGAAAATTCCTACCGCTAGAAGGTATTCAACGCAGAGAGAGGGAGTAAGTTTGCCGATCGATGATGGTGACAGCGACGGGCTAGGGTTTCGGCTTATTCTCTCTCCATACTCGCCCCTAACTCAGTCGAAAACAAACTTCAATCAGCAGGTTTTTTTTCTCCTATCACATCACTGGATTTTCACGTTTTTCTGAATTTGAAGTTCTCTAATTGTGCTCTTGAGAAATGAAACCACCCGAATTTTGTGAACTACATATTTTTTTGTTGTTGAAATTGATGAATAATTGGATTCTTGATTGAGATTTCTCTTATGAGTATTGTGTAAATTAAGTTAGAAAAGAAGATTAGGGGTTGATATACTACCTCCATCTCTACTAGACGGAGTATTTGCAAAAATTTGGATAAATCCCGATCAACAAACAAATAAAAATTACTCCGTACATTATATTTCTTTGTTGGAGTATTTGTTGCCATACATTCAAATTTGCCTTTTTTTGTTGGGATGGAGTGAGTAATATATTACAGCTTTCATAGCTATGTGTTTGGCATGTTTTCATGATGCAACTAGATGATGAGTTTTTTGACCTTTTAACAGCTTCAGAGTCTTGCCGAGGGAATTCGAAGTTCAAATTTGAAAGCTGCAAATGAAAAACATTCACCATCCGTATTTGTAAATTCAGAACCAATTCGTGAGGATCAAGTACAGAATGCTGTGAAGTTTCTAGCAGATCCAAAAGTTAAGGGTTCTCCAGTCATGTATAGGCGTTCTTTTCTTGAGAGAAAGGGCCTCACAAAAGAGAATATTGATGATTCTTTTCGACGGGTTCCTGTAAGCACTTGAAGAAGATGTTGTTGGTCTTTGTCTCAGACCTAATCAAGAGATTGGTGCATCAGAAGACTAGATTAGTCTTTCATCTAAATCTAAAAATCCGAGGAAGCTCTATTAACGAGGTAATCTTTCCCCATCTTTATGCAATGATGTGAATCAATTTTCTTAACGTGTTCATAGATATGTTATTTCACTGCCTTTATTATATTCCTTATTGAAAATAGTCAATTATTTATTGAAATTTGAATTATTCAAGTTATTTTTAGATTCATCGGAACTGTGGATGAAGCAGGCTCATTTACGAAGTATATACTAATTAATTGGAATATGAGAAAACCACATTGTTTCTAGAAACTATCAAATAAAGATGGGAGAAAGGGTTCACAAGATATATATTTTTGGCATACACATTCTAATTGTTTGCTAAAAGATGTGTTTTTTCACGTGGTTAACTCAAAGATGTAATTCTTTTAAGTTATTGTGATTGGATGTTAAAAGTTTTTTTACTGTACATACAATTATTTTATTCATTTTTATTTTTTTCATTACATGTTCAGGGTATTGAAACTTGAAAGATTTGAGAAGGATATAAATAGTTTTGTACCCCATTTTAATTGAAGGATGTGTTATAAAGTCAGTTTAGGAGCTTGATGTCATCCAATCTACCAATAATATAAGTTCTGTAGCTCAATTTTGGTCAAACATTTGCTTCTATGATACTATGCAAATTGATTACCCTCATTTCAGCTTGGTGATTTTTAGCTATTGTATTTTTTTAATAGAAACTTCTAATATTGCACAGTAGCTTGCAGGTACCGAGAAAATTACAAAGTGAGTAAGAAATAATAACTATTAAGAGCATGTTTCTGCAAGGATTAAATGGAAGAATTTAGGAGTTGGCCTATAAAAGTGTTATTGTAATTTTGTTGTGGTATTAGGGTATGTGCACTCTTCACATCTCTTCGGCAACCCTCATGTTCTTCCTACTTTTATGATAACTTTTTAAGTGATGTTTGCCATATGTACTATGTTGTGTAGATATATACTGCTAGCTTGCGTGCTTGCTGGAAGGAAGCATTGGTTGGTCACAAGTAGAAACAAAGAGAAATTGTGGGGCTATTTGTTTGAAGCGCTGGTGCTACCATTTCCCTATTGCTCAAGTTTTATTTTTATTTTACTTCATAGTAGTACACTCTTTTTTGGAAAATTGCCGCATTTTTAAGTTATTGCTATTAGTCCTTATATAAATAGTGTGTGCTTATGCAATTCAAGACTCATCACAATTGGTTTCAGAATTGAAAAGAAATAATAACATGCAGAGCATTGCTCATTCACGGTTGACACATATATTTTAATTCTTTGCGATATTAAGATGTATTTAGTTTAAAAAAAATGTATTTAGTTTTGTTCCATTATACTATATTATTTTTGTGTGCTGACATAATTAATTTTAGAATGAAAAATTGACATATTGTTATACTCATTTTGTGCCAAAAAATTCTTCACATTAGACTTTTCATAGTTCCAATGTGATGAAATTTTGATCATAAAATATGAAATTGACGGAATAGATTTGTACGACTATATTTTGTACATAACTAAATGTTATAAAATTTGATATAGAGTTATGTCAAAACTACATCTTAAAATTAATCTATTGAAATTAAGTTATACCTAAATATAATTTTTTTTTGCAAATTATGGTAAAAGTTGGTACAATTTAACCCAAAAAATCACATGTAAAGATCTCTTTTTATAAAGAGAGTTTATTTTATATATTGGATAGATACAGTATTTTGTGGATAAACACTCCAAGTAGTAGTATCAATTTTTAATTGTATGTTGTCATCTTCTAGCTTCTCCCTCTAATTTATTTTTTCTATTTTAATTTACGATGTTTGACTGTGTTATTTGTAATTACACATGTGAAAATTACGTTTTAACTTCTTTGAAATAAAAGATGACATAATTATATTATTTAAACAAGTAAATAATAAAAATAATTAGAGGAATTAAATAAAATTTAATTGTATTTGAAGAATGTTTTTACCGTGCATCGCCCGGGTGAAATCTAGTGGGGTACAACAATGCAGGCATCTATTGTGCGGCAACTTCGGCCCGTTCCAATCTGTGAAAGGGACATTCATTTAAAATATAATAAATTAAATCAGAGCACTATTTCACTACAATCCACTATCTTCACCATAACCTCCCACTTAACTTCATCATATTAAAATAATAAAAAAAAACTTCATCATATTTATAAAAATGGAACTACCAATGGCATCCGCACTACCCACCACACACATTAAGAAGCCGAGTTTTTCTTTCATGCATTTAATATTTGAGACAATGGAAAGAGGAAATAGAATACTCCTCCGTCCCAGTGTATTTGTCCAGTTTGACTTTTTCGAGTTAAACTGAACAATTTTGAGCTTCAATTAAATAAAAACCGTAATATATTTTAACATAAAAATGACTTTATTAGATATATCATATTGAGAACTTTCAAAATGGTATTTCATTATGCTAATATGCAATATAAATTGAGAGTAATTGGAGTTCAAAGTTTGTTCAGTTTGACTCAAAAAATTCAAACTAGATAAATACACGGGGACGGAGGTACTATTCTACTTGGGGGTGATGTGATATGTTTCATATATATGCTATAACAAATTTTAGTATACATTGGACAATTAATTTATCACCGTATTAGTAATTATGGATTGTTATTATGTTTCAGTGGCCATGGAACCGGGCCATGGAACCGGGCTCTTGTTATTATGTTTCATACTCCCCCGTCCCAGAGTATTTGTCCACTTTCATTTTTACACACCATCCAATGTACTTCTTTAATCAATTTTATCTTGTAATTTGTATATTAAAAAATTATAGAAATTATATATTAATAATCTATATGTTAAGACAAATCAAACAAATATGTTAAGACAAATCAAACAAGATCACACATGACTATATTTAGGCTTACACATTGAGAGAATTTGATAAGTCAAAGTGCTTAGATGAACAGTTCCAAAAGTAAAAAATGGATAAAAACTGCACACGTTAGAATCTAGTAACAGAGGACAAACCAATATTTCCATTTGGTTGTATCTCTTTTAATTTTCCGGAACCCACCCTAAGCAGAAACGCAGTTCGACCAGTGGCTACACAATCCCTTGTTCGTCTTCAACCTACGCTGCCTCGCATCTCTGTTAGATTTAGTTCCAGCTCCAACTTCCATTGTGAGTCTTCCTCCCTCCATTCTCCATCGCGAAAGCATCTGCAGTAATATCGTTAGTTTTGTTTTTGCTTTCGGCAATTCTTTTTCTTCCAGAGGGAATTTGATTTGTGGAGATCAAGTTTGTTCTCCATGGCATATTAGTTACAAGTGGAGTTGGAGAGGCATGGAGTTCCCAGCGTCTCCCTCATCTCCCTGCAAAAAATGTTTTAAGAAAGAATTTAATTCATTTCAAACATTCCAACCACTGTAGTTCAATTCAATTATGTTATTTATTGATATAATTCAAAAACACAAGAATTTCATGCGGAATGTAATTGAGTTCAATTCAATTTACTGCTACTGATAGAGTTGGGTAGTTTTGCGAAGAACCCAACTCATTTTGACCGCCAGGACTGCCATTGCCTATTCAGGAATAAATCTGAGGACCAATCACGTCAGCGTTCTCTCTTCATCACACCGGCTTGCCTGAGCACAGGTATAGACATATAGTTCCTATCTTTGTTTTCTCTGCTAATTTACTTCTGATGCTGCCAATTTGGATATATTGGATGTTTCTTGTCTTCATTACAGCATTTTAAGTAACCCTATCTTCTACTTGTTTTGCTGCTGCTAGCTCATTTGACATGAGGTTTTGATTCACCCATTTCATTTTTAAGATGTTTTTATTCATGAAAATATGTTAATTTTCCCCTCTTCGGAAATTGTGCTAGTAATTCGATTCATGTCTTAAGTTATAAGTTGCAACAAGTTGCTATAGCTAAATTTTCCAATTGGTTGCTTAGTTTTGAATGAATGTGTTGCAATCTGGGTTTAGTGTCTTTGGGAATTTTACTAGGTGTATTGACTAAATTAGTTCACCTATGAATGTTTGAAAAAGAAAGTTGTACTTATACAACTTAAAAGTTGAAGGTAAGAGGTTTTTGTTGCTGCTCGAGTGCTGGAAAAATATCTTAATTCTGCTTAAAAATTGATATTATGAGATCTGAAGTTTAAGAAAAATCACATAAGGTTTGAGTGTTTTGTGATTGGTTGCTCTTGTTACCATTATGGGCTTGGGTATTTGATACTTATGGTGTATGCATGTGATGACCTTCCATGAAATATTCCAATGACTGCTGTAGTGGTAGAAGTCTAACAGTTGCATTCTTGTTGAAAGCGTGGAGAAATACATATAAAATGTTGGCTAAAGGTAGGAAAGTTGCTGGCAAGGGGGAGACAGTGGTTGCCCACTATGCTTTTGGCCAACATGAAGATGAAGTGATCATAAAACACAGACTTCTAACACGTACAACAACCACAAGGGGTGAACCTCCACTAAAGAAACTTCAAAAGAAACTTACTGCTTTTGTCTTGGAGGCAGAGAAGGAAGCTGATAACTTTGATGACTGTGAAAGACTTGCCAAGGCTTTCTTGCAAGAGCTAAACACTTTTGAGATTCCGCTCCTGAAAAGCAGAGCAGTCATTGATGCAAATATTAGGGAGAAGGAGAATTTCAATGACTTGAATGATGAAATTAAGAGGCAGATTTTACAGACCCAGGCTGACATAGAAGATCTGAAGAAGCAACTGGAGGAAAGCAAGATAGAGAGGCAGCATAAAGAAGAGTGTGAGGCAATTAGGAAATTGATTGCAATGCAACCTGCCAGATCAGAGACCCAAAACATTATCACAGAACTAGAGAAGGAGATTTTAGCGTTAGAGGCAGAGAATACAGCTAGTTCAAGAACATTGGAGCTGCGGAAAAAGCAATTTGCTCTTTTGCTACATGTGGTATGTATCACCAACTCCAAATGAAATGAATTAGCTCTGGTTGGTGCTTTCGGTGCTTGAAGTAGACATAGATATTGCATTTTTTGCCTTCTTGTTAGGGGTTTCGTTTACCTTCTGTTTTGTTTACTGCCTTTGTTGGATGTCAATTGAATGCTTTAAGAGACACGTCCATATGCGTTCTCACCTTGTTCAGATTAATCTACCAGCATTATTGTTTTGGCTATGCAGTATATATAAATTAGTTAACATATTACCCATCTTGACTATGCAGTACATCTAAATTAGTCGTAGTTGCACAGAGATGACCGACAATGTGTGGTGAGATAAGGGACGCTTTCCGTTGCTCTCACTGCCTTCCTCTATTGCATTGTTGCTTTCAAATCTCATTGCTTTAAAAGTTTTTATGTTTTAGCGTACAAGTTTTTCTCAATTCATTGTCTAGAAAACAATCTTTGAATACCGAATAAGTGAACTAGGGAGACTATAGAAGAATGGTTTTATTTGCACACACTAGTTTTTACTCATTTTTAAAACACATGTTATTTTGACACCAAGGTGTGGTGTCATATTATGACAACACGCCAAATTGATGCTCCTACGTTGCTTTGTTTAAAAAATTGATGGTTCCTACTCCATTAATCCTCCTAGTAGACTTCCAACCCGTCCTGACCCAAACCTCCTCCCACCCCAGCCCCATCAATTGCACCCCCAAATTTATTTGACTTTGGGATCAATTTTCTTGACCCCAAAATCAACTAAATTTGAGGGGTGGAATTCAAGGGGGTGGGTCTGGGTCGGGCCAAGGTGGGAGGTTTACCAAGGGCTAGGAGGTAGGAACCATCAATTTTTCTAACTGATCACCACAGGGGCCTCAAATGGCGAGTGACATAAATATGACACTCAAATGGGTGTCATTTTAACCTAGTCGTGTTAAAATGTTAATCATTGATTAGTGTACTGGTTCAAACTAATTGCATCGATAATGCAAAATGAAATTCATGCTGTAAGTGATTAAGATAAAAGGGTGCAAATAGCATTACTCATTTAGAAACCATAACACCTGTTACTCAAAACTAGTTTTAATTCCTTTCATTACCAAATGGGTTCTTTGAAATTTGTAATGTTAAAGTCTATAGAAACTTTAGTTTACAATTTTTGATCATTTCATTGCCCACTTCATTTCCTTTCCATCATCTCCGATGGAGTCAAAGATTCACTATTTTTGGCTCTGGGGTAAAGCAAAATGGCTCTTTAAACTTTCTGGGCTTCTTTTAATAGTGAAGTAGCACTTAGTCAATGCAAAGTTCAACGCTCATCATGGGTCATCGGGAAACAGCCGCTCTATGTTTTCAACATAGGGGGTCAGGTTGTGTATGTGATTACCCGTGGTGGTTAAGCCGGGGGTTCTCTTTGGAAACAACCTCTCTACTTTTGTGTAGGGGTAAAGTCACATACACACCTTCCTCAGACCCTACTTTTGTGGGTTCAACTGGGTTGCTGTTGTTGTTCATTGCCCAATAACTTTTTTGTGATTTGAAAAGATAAAGGAATATTTGACAAAATATCTTGTACAAAATGTTTTTTGGAAGTAGTTGCTTTAAGTTTGAGGGGTAAAGGGAAAATAACAATTGGTTTATCTTGTGATAAAATGATAGCAAGCTAGTTCTTGAAATGCGTGTATTAATATTGTAGAAATATGATTCCATAATCAGTAAGAGGAGAAGAAAAAAAGGGTACGGGGTACCTTTTTCTAGATGTTTAATGGCATTGAAGTACACATTGACTTTGGCGCATCAAGATTTATGGGCTAACAAGAGCTTTGATAATCCTAATAGGATATCATTTCCATTGTATGTTATGAAGTGCAATTTATTCACAGATGGTAGGATTTTTATTAATTTGTTTAGTCCCCCAAAATTGCAAATATGACTGGTGTGAGAGCTCTCTAAGTAACCAAATTAAATGTGTGCAAAATAGTGGCAGTCATTATTTTTAGAGTTAGTAATTGTAAGGTTAGAGTCTCCCATCGTAAAAACCAATAGCACATGGAGTTAGGGGAGAGGAAGTGAAAAAAAGGTACTATTTTGTATTTTCAACTCATGACATAATTTTAACTAGATAAGATATTGTCTGTATAATTTTAAGCAACCTCAAAGTCCCTTCATCCCTTGTAATGCCCTGAAGTTAATACCCAACCATTATATTAATGCAATTTTTCCATTGATAGCTGTACTCTTTTTTTCTCCTGATAACTGTATTTATGGCATAACCATATCTTCATCAGGTTGATGAGCTGCAAAACACGATAGAGGAAGAACAGAGGAGTTTGGTTGAGGAGATGAGGACGGCAACAGATGATCATAAGAATGCGGTGGTGGAGGATATCGCCGCGGTGCCTGAATCAATGGCTGTAGATTAGAGTGCACCTTTGTCTTCTTCGGTTGTACTCTTTTACTTCCTACTGACCTCATTGATGCAGGTACAACACTTTTAGGATGCCCTCAGACATTGGCTCACCGTGTTCGAATATCCATTTGAGGATAAATAGGAGTGTCGGCTTGTTGATACGCAAACGAAGGGTGGGTCACTGCATTTCTGAGGAGCACAATACTGAGTTTTGAAATCTTAGAACTACTGAAATTCCAGTTGCTTGTTGAAGGATGGTTTGGCTTTTCTACTGCTGTACGATTTCAAATCTAATATGGCAATGTCAAAAATTTGAAGTTCAATTGGTTGGAGGGAAATATTTTCCCAAAAAATTTCAATTCTAATTTCCTACTTTTGATGATATAACTGATAAGAAAATATTTGTCTTTGAAGGAAATTCCTACTCACTCTCCGCTCCCGTTCATGCTCCTACCCTCTTGCCCCACCCCTCCTACCCTGCCACCCCACCCCGCTGTATCCTATCCCTTCCCCCACCGTGCCCCACCACTCGCCACCTTGCCCAGTTTCCCCTACCCCGTCCCCTGTTGCCCGTCCTACATGTTAAAATTTTTTAAAATTGTCTTAAAATGTCTTTTTTAAATTTATAGTATTAATTTTCAAATATTAATAACGGAAAATGAAATTTTGGGGAAATAATATTCTTCCTACCAGGCAATAAGAAATGTGATGGAAAATGATTCTCTATATTATCATGCATATATTAAAGCGGCCCGGTTCTAGTAACACCGGAGAACGGTGCCACTAGCGGTGCCACTGGGTTTTTGAGGCACCTCCGGTGCTCCGTTCGTAAAATTGACGGTTCCTACCTCCCCTAACCCACTCCCTAAACCCCCCACCCTACCCCCACCCCTGCACCCCCATCCCAACCCCGCTGTAACTCCCCCACAAAATGTGTGGCTATTATGCATTGCCATTCATATAATTGCTATAATGCTTCTACCATTTATTTTTGGCACATGGACCAAGACAATAACAATAGAATTAAGAGATGACCATTATGCCATTTATTGAGTGATATTGAGATGAGAAAAAAAGGTTTAAGTACTCCATTCCTCGGAAAATAACTTCTCATTACCTTTTTCACGGTCTCCAATGTGTATCTTTGACCATTAATATTTATATTTTATACTATAATTATATATTAAAAAATACAATATTTTAAAAATATGTTTCAAAACAAATACTTTGATATTAAATTTATATTATAACATACAGAGTAATATATTTATTTCATAAATCATGGTCAAAGAATAAAAATTTTGACCAAGAAAAGTTTTATGGGAAACTTATTTTCCGGATGGAGTAGCATTTATGATTTACCATAAATTGAAAATGGACAAATATATTAGGATAATCCAAAAAAAGTCTAACACATATGAACAAACAGAGGAAATATTATTCATATTAGAAAATTCATTTAATCTTCGATGCATAGAAAGATCATATCAAATTCTCTATACAATAAGAGGTGACATGATTATATATTTTTTAACTTGTTTATTACAAGAAAGTCAAATCTGCAACAAACAAAGAAAAAGTTTCACTAACCCTATGTTCAGTTCAAGGAATTTGGAAGGAAAAGAAAAAAAAATAGTTTTCCCCAGTATTCTCACCAAAACGGGAGAAATTTGGTTTTCACCTTTAGTACATTTTGCCTTTTTATTTTATTTTCTTTCCACTTTTCTTTTTTTCCCTTTCTAATCAAATGAGAAAATGTTTTCCTTCTCATTTTCTTTTTCTTTTCCTTTCAAATTCTTTGAACCAAACATAGTGTTAGTAAAATGAGAAGTGTGACGATGAGTATTTTAGCTTATCACTACAAAAAACTGCTGAAATCGCGACAGAATTATTCCGTTGCCAAAGCCTGATTTCCGTAGGAAATCGGCCTAGCGACGGAAACAACGACGGTTTGTATTCCGTTGTTATTTTTTCGTTAGTAATAAGTTTAACGATGGATTATTTAATCCGTCGCTATGCTACGACGGAATTAGCGACGGAATGAGATGACGGAATTAACGACAGAAAATTTCCGTCGCTAAGATTAACGACGGTTTTAGCTACCGTTTCTGCATTTTGACCATACAGCGACGGAAATGATATTCCGTCGCCCAATCCGTCGCCAATTTTACAGCACAAATACAGAAAGCTGCCATTTTTTCAATTTCACACAACATCCATAGCAACCTGCTCTAGCCCAGGAATCCACAGCATCAAAAAACAACATATACTAGAAATGAAGAATACCAAACAACCAAGAATATTCAAATCACCAAACTACAATTAAAATTCAAATAATATTTATAAAAATTCAACTTAACAATCAAATCTAACTCCACTTACATAACCATCAAACTTAAGTTTAATATAATGTTCTTCAATTCTAATAAAATATTCAACAAGCGTGTGGAAACCCCGTATCTCATCAGGTCATCTCTTCTATAATCGACAATAGTTCACGCACTTGGGAAACTCTAATGTCGTGTAGCTCTTCTCTCAACCTCCGTATCTCATCATCTCGAGGGTCTCACATAGAGATGGTGCTAGCACGTCTTGCCTCACTTGCATGCATTCATGGTAGGCTTCGTGCGAGATCTCCAACACCATGAACACGATTTTTGGCATCATGTCCTCCGACTGTAGATATAAAAATCTCGTCACGTGTCACATTTAAGCATTATTCTCGAACTGCCTCGTGCGTGACTACGTAGTTTTGCTGCAATACACCAAACATACATGTATATAGATTAACATAAAAAGCAAAATAAGTAGGGTAGTATGAATTCACATCTAATTGAATTCAACGAAAACTAAACATTTATATATACAATATATATTTATTGTCACTTACTGATACTTTTTCTGCCTTCTTATTGACGTAGGTCTTCCCATCATGTTTCTTCGTATGTGTGTGTGTACGAAGAGTACAAGTCAGAAGCTTGTCTACTTTTACCCTAAAACAATAAAATATACAAATAAGTGTAAGCATGTCAGTTAAAACATTTAAATGAAAATAATGTTACTAATAGTACTTACAAGGCGTGCTTGAGACTCGCGAAAAGACAACAGACCACCGGTGTGCGTGGCGCTAGCAAGGGCATTCTCGTCACCACCACGATGATTTTTCTTGTTTTGCTTGGAGGATGCCAAGAACTTTGTCATCTTCTAATACTGTTTAACAATCCATCCAATTCAATTAAGCACTTTGAAGTGTAAATGCATTATTTATTTCCATAAACTCATTAAATCATTTTAATGATTATTTATTTAAATTGGGTCAAGTTTAGTTGTGTAGGGAAATAGGGGATCCCAACCTAGACTCGTGTTAGAAATTTTAAATCGTGTATGGATCCACACCGAATAAACAAAATTAGATACTCCTTATATCTTAATCTTATACATGCAAAATAATCGACGGATCGTGCAGTGATCGAAATGGATTAAAACCCGGCCTATTAACATGCCTTTAGCATTCACATTAGCGTACAATCGACACTTCACAATTCATCGTTTGCAGAGTCAATCCCGTGTATCCTTAATCTATCTAAACCCAACCTATCAATAGGCCTTGACTACAATTTACACTCCACGGTCCATGGTAGATAGAGTAGAGTCTACGTACACTATTTACACACTCTAATTAAGCACAATGTTATAACTTATAAGTTATTGTGCGCATGTTTCGTAATAACTTCAGAACGTTAATGTATTAAAAATGTTATCTAGGGACTATTAAATTCAATTCTAAGATTTTCAAAGTTAATCTGCACAACTAAAAAGTTACTCCGTATCCAGAACACTATTACTAAGAATATGCTTTATTGGGAGATGGGATGGATGGGAGGTGAATAAGAAGGATGTGGAGGTTTTTCCTCCACTATGTTTGGTTAGAAAATGGAAAGGAAAGCTTGTAGATCTTGTCGGAGTGAATGGAGTTCATTGAGCTTCAATTGAACTTCGTCGAAGTTTGTTGGACTTCGTCGGACGTCGATGTGTGCTCGATGGGTCCCTATGAGCATCGTTGCTCATATGTTCGTTGACGGTTGCGCCTTGGGTTGCCACTCACCCATGCCCCGACATCCTTTTTTCGGCAACTAAGGTGAGTTTGGGCCCTACCTTTGACCAGCTTAATAGCTAATTTTGTTAAGGTCACTGATCATTTATCGTTGTAGGATGATGGAATCTATCAATCCCTCTCTTTTGGAGGGAATGAAAAGAGTGGAAAGGGAGGGATGTGAATGAAAAATTCAAGTCTCTCTCCCTCCAAAACTTTTAAACCAAATTAAAAGAAAGTGTTATTTTTCCTCCATCTTCCCCAACCAAACACGCCCTAATCTAAAACGGCGTCCACTCCCAAACATGGCTAGGCTCGTCTTTTTCTTTTTGTTGTCAATCAATCGGGACGCACAGACAAATCGAAATTGAAATTTTCTCCCACACATCTGAACGGACATTGAACCCTAATTTCGTCGATTCAGTTTCATTCCAGCTTCTCGCTCTTTTCTTTTTTCGCAATCTATCCAATTCAATCTATTTCCCCATCCAATCCTCTCTCTCCATCTCTCCCGCAGCCGTTACATTTCTCCACCGCACCGTCGTTTTCCGTCCGCCGATCCGCCCCCTTTTCCCTCCTCGTTGAAGGTACGCGCCCGCCGTTCCATCGCCGCCCCGTTTATTTTGCTGTATCTGCATGCTGCCGATAGAAAAATTTCCAATCTTTGTTCGCGTTTGCATAGAAATGCGCGTGTTTTTGAGATTGGCGTTGGAATCGGGGTTTCTATTGGGAATCGAGGATTCCTGGTGGCGAGATTGCTGTTTCGCGATCTGCGGTTTTTTTTCTTATAAATAGTGATAACCGTTACGTCTATGTATCCATGGCGCTGGATTGTAATATGTCCAGCTGCTCGGGGGATTAGTTGTATGGATGAATAGATGTATTCATTCACAAGCCTACTCTAAGATCATATACTTGGGGTTGCATAACGCTAAGTTATATTTAGTTTTTGAGGTTCCTAATTTTTAAGATTTTTTGTCATTTTGCAATCTATGTGTCAAGCATATTCAATGTTTCCAATGACGTCTTCTTGTGACGGGTTGGAAATTGATGGGCTCCATTTGGAGGATTTTGGCAGAGTGTTCTTGAGGCATTTAAACTTTAGGCTACTTTTCTTCTTGCTCTGATTTTTTTTGACGAGTTTAAATGTGTGTTGTTAGCTGTTAATGCTTCCATGTTGTTCCTAGTTCTTTCATTCATCATCACTGTTAGGTTCCTATGCATAAAACTTTCAGAAAATGCAAGTGGAATAGAAGTAGTCAATAACATCAATTTGTTTTGCACACTAGATTTAAATTGATACGCAGTATGGGGCCGTCAATAACATCAACTGATGTTTCAAGTTGTACCTGGATGTACCAGATCCATGGTTTGTTGTATTGATTTCTTAGACTTAACTAATTGACTTTTAGTGAGACAATACATCTTTATATTTCTAGTTGGATCCGGATGTAGTGATGTACCAGATCTATTTTTTTTTTGCTTTATTGCATTATTAGACTAAGCTTATCTCTTAAAGGTTGTTTTTGTTGCATTTTAAAATAAGCTATTTGACTTGAGGTATTTTTATGCATTCTTTGGCTAAGCTTATTTGCATTCCTGATCCATAGGTTTTGGAATCAGAAACTGCGAGATGTCTCCCGTATCTAGATCCAAGTCCAAGGACAAAAAGTCCGGGAAGGAACCTTCAAAGACTCCATCAAAATCTTTGAGCCATGCCAATATTAGTGGTGGGATCCCGGCCAGTGGATACAATCCAATTCTTGGAACCTTCCATGCACTGGACTCAGCACCTGGCTCTTCTGCCTCTTCACTTCATGCCAATGGCCGCTTCAAAAACATAGATGAGACAGATGATCAAAGTAGCAACTCACTAGGCACTGGTGGGGAGTATGATACTGTTTCAAACAATGGTAGTTGGTCTGGGGAGTCAGAAGACCCCAAGGAAAAAATATCTCATCCCCTTCCTCCCAAACAAGAGACAGTACCCGGGGCTGACAATGACAAGCGGGAAAAAATACGCCAAAAGAATGAGAGAAAGCATCAACGCCAAAAGGAGAGGCGAGCCCAAGAACTACATGAGAAGTGCAGTGGGTATCTCATGTCAAGAAAGCTGGAAGCGCTTGCTCAACAGCTTGTGTCAATGGGGTTCTCTTCAGAACGAGCAACCATGGCTCTAATCCTGAATGAAGGAAGGGTAGAACAATCTGTGGCGTGGCTATTTGAAGAAGGTCAAGAAGCAGACAATACTAAGCACAAGGAACACAACATTGATGGAGGGGGTAATTTGAAAATCGATATATCGGAAGAGCTTTCTCGAATTTCAGAGATTGAGAGTAGGTATAAGTGCTCTAAGCAGGAGGTTGAAAGAGCCGTGGTTGCCTGTGAAGGTGATCTCGAGAAGGCTGAAGAATCTCTGAGGGCACAGAAGCAGGAAACTACTACTAATGTGCAATCAAAGCCAGAAGAGACTGTGGTCAGTTGTAAACTCCCTACATCCACAAGTCATCATAATTCGGTAAGTCTTTCTACGAAACTCATCTCGTCCACTTCTGTACAAATGAAGAGGGATGAGAAAATACCAAACTCTTCCATGGATCCTGTGAGCAAAAACATACAACAGTCATTAAAGGGAGTCCAACTGAAAACGGACTGGGCTAAGCCACCACAAGCAACTACAACCTCAGCTGATAAGCGCTGGTCGGGTGCAGCAATTCCAAATCCATCTGCATTTAATAATTCTTTTCCTTCACAAGTCTCGCCTTCTCCAGTTATGACTACTGAAGCTCGGTACATAGCTGTTGGGAATGAACTGAAGAACCTACAGCTAGGAAGCATTAAAGAACCCATTATAGTCATGCAACGGCCACAACAGTCCATGAATGCAAAGCAGGTGGTCCCACCATCAACCTTCATGAGTTCATCACCTCCTGGTGGAACTGCAGCTAGAGGGGGGTGGTACCTTCATGGTGCTGAACCTATGAAGCCAGATAGGATGGTGACACATGCATCGGGCTTGAGGAACGCTAGCACGGACAGTTTCAATGCCAACCAAATATTACACAATCAGCATCCGTTTCTACCACACCAGTTTCAACTACACCAGCAGCAGAATGCATTGAGTAATGGGGGCCAACATGAACCTCCGGGAACGAGCAGTAGCAGGGTAAACGCTATGTGGTGTAGAACAGGTAGTACATCTCAGCATCAGGGAGTTGCTGCGGCTTCCTCACTCGGGCTTTTTTCTGGGTTAGGCAACCATGGCCCATTGGGCCCGTCACCTCATGTGGACTGGAACAGTGGGTTTTCGATGCCACATCTAGATTACAACAGCATAGACTGGAGCCTAGATTCAAATTCATCGTCATCAGTACCGGGAGGCCTCTGGCCTAAAATGAACCAACCCATGCCAAACAACTACCGCAACCACACATTTACGTCCCGGGCTGCAATGGGACCCATTTTGTCCGATGGCATTTCGATTCCCACCAGGTTGCAGGAGGGAATGATGGCTTCGGCAGTGGAGACATCTGCTGGTGGCGGCGGATCTCGCGAATGGACTTCTCCTTTCGAGGAGAAAGATCTTTTTAGTTTGCCCCGGCAATTTGTTTCCTCTCCTTCACTGTAGTAGGGAAGGAAGGGGCTGGGTGGGTTTAATGATTTAATAATAAAAGGAGAAAAAAAAGAGACGGTAAGATGTGCTTGGTTGGGTTTGGTGTTGTTTGATCATCATATCATATCATATATATATATGAATGAATGAATGTGCTTTTGTTCCCCCCTTGTTTAAATATGTTTCGTTGTCCGTTCATTCCCATTCCCAGTGTAATGCTCATTTTGTGTAATTTTCTATGTGGTTTCCTTCCGCTTTTCATCTTCCATGACATTGTCTTCTCAGGTTCCATATCTACCTCACAGCCAAATTGGATTCACTTCGAGGTAAGTCTCCGTTAAGCAAAGCCTCTTTGTTTGGCTTCTCGGTGGCTCGGCCATTCTTTTCCCTATGAAACACCACCCTATGTTGCTGCATCAATCAGTTGGTAGTCACAAAGAATTATGAAAAAAATGAGCACTACAGATCTTAACATGTTTAATTTAAGAGTACTCTCAATTTTTTTTTTTTTTGTATTTATAGAATTGGTAGTAATTTATTTATCCAACGTAATATTGCATATACACCAACCATTTAAAGCCGCGGAGCCTAAACTATGGGGGTTCACTGGTTTGGTTTTGTCTGATGGGTTTCCATTCGATTTTGGTTCTGAAAAATGCAAACTGAAAGCTGAACTGTCTAGCTGAGGTGGATTCATTTCGTTTTCAGTTTGGTTATTTTGGGCCAATTTTGGCGTGTTTATGCTGGATTTGTTTGGTTTCTTAAACGGCACAAAAAGGTTGGTTTTGGTTTTGATTGGTGGTTTTTCGTTTTGATTGAACTCCAATCGTAATTAGTTACGTCGTACTTGGAGTTGGCTTTTCAAAAAAAAAAACCATGCTCTGCCCAGGACCAAAACTCACAAGCATTTAGGGTCTGTTTGCAAAAGGGGAAAATGACTTCTGGAATTCATTTTCCCCATTTTCCGTTGTTTGAAAAGAACGGAAAATGAGCACAGGCAACCTGGAAAATGGAGGTTGTTTTTTGGAATTTGTCTTCCGTTCGTGACCATCTCTATCTGCTCATTTGCCTAGACCGATTCGGCCACAACTCCAAACGCAGATCTTGATAGTTCCACATTCCAACAATTCTAGAGTGCCAAAAAATTGTACCCTTCACAATTTTTATACATGTCTATGTTAACTTTGTCCTTGTTTTGGGTTTCGGCTTGTTTAGAAAAATTATTGGCTGTTTTTTTGAGTGATGATTTTCTGATTTTTGCTTTGTGTTCGAGAATGGCTTCGCTGCCTTTTCTTGATATAGAAATTGCTTCTAGAATTTGATCAACAACTAGAATTAGAGATTGTTTTTTGTTATACATCCGCCGGGCATTTGATAAAATGTCTGAGACAAATTAACTCAATTTTCATTTTCCAAATACTTACTTTCCAGAAATGAGACAAATGAAAATGAACCATTTTCTACTTTTAGCCAAACGCAAGAAAAGGAAAATGGTTTCAGGAAAATAACTCATTTCACCAAATTTATTTTCCTGAGTTCCACACATGCCCTTAGGTTAACAATAGAATTGTAAATTACAAAATTGTAAATCACAAAGTTGTAAATTTCTTGTGCAATCTTTGGCAAACCTCATTAAATTAACTCTTAGGTATTATCATGAGGTTGCAAAAGTTGAATAAAACCAATTTGAGCCTCACATGTGAGTTTGAGGCATGCATTATTATCATTATGCATCGTGAGGCTGAGGCATATTAAAGAGAAAGCATTCGATAAACAAAGAAACCAAACAATGGGGTTCCACCAAAAAGGCATAAAACAAAACAAAAAACACCAATGAAGAAGTAAAACTTGAAAGGCACGCAGAAATCATTATAGTATTATTGATCATGGTTCATTAACCACACTCTCCCTAGGAGATGGTTTAATTTATATTTGATCATCATAACATGAGACTTTATTTTCCAAGAGTACTACTAGTGCAGATAAGAGCGCACACTAGCCTTATTGAGCTAAGAAGAAGAAGGGGCACCATCGGTAACGAGTTTGAACTCTTGCAATTCCTTGAAGTTCTCCCATGGCTTCTCCCACACCTTAGCTTCGTACACCTTTTTATGACCCCCGTCGTTTGCCTCCAGCGTTATATGGTGCATTGTCCCGGCAACCACCTGCTTTCGCACTTTCACCACTCTCCCAAACTCCAAATTCGAATTCTGGCAATACCATCAAATAAACCTTAATTAGTGCAAGTGAAAAGATAGGAAAACAATTGAAGATTCCGTCCTGCAACCGCACACACATGAATGCTAGACATATACCCATCTATCACCACCAGGAACTTCTTTCGTTCTTAAAACAACCGACGATTATGACTTTTTACATACATTAAAAAGTGAATGAAAGTGGACATATATTGTGTCTACATTCATTTTCTTTTAATGAATGTAGAAAGTCGTAATGGTATGTTATTTAAGAACAAAGGGATTATATGGTTCCTAACCAGAAACGAATCATTGCGGATGTGGACTATTCATGTATGCAAATCAGGCGCCGAATCGGGCTTTAAATTCAGTGTACTCGGAGCCAAATTGGGCGCAAAAATTATGCTCCCACCGTCCCAAATCAAAGTTGCAATTTTGTTTTTTTTTGACACAAAATTTGAGATTTATGCAGAGAAATTGAGAAACACAGCAATTCAGGAAGTAAGAATGTGATTTCATGCAGTTCAAATCAATAAGAAACTAAAGCAGATCGGTTCGCGTGAGGAGCGAAATGATTAAAAAGCCAGCGATGTGAACCGATCATATCGGATCCAATGATTGATTCATAAGCAGAGTTTAGTTGATCAGAGAGGGAGAGAGAGAGAGAGAGGACCGTTCGGGCGTTATGCTGAGAGAGGGCGAGGCGAGCAAGTTGTTCGGCTTCAAGGCTGTTTTGGGATCCATTCGCTTCGGAAATGCCTCCCACCGTAGCCATATTTGTGTCCAGAAAACACAGCCGGATAAGTTTAATCCCTCCCGTCCTTGCTTGCTTGCTTTCTCAGTTACTCCATATTACATCTATCCCCTCCCCCTTCTATTATTGTACCTGCAATTCATACCTGTTCTAGTTAACATTGGGAAGCTTTCATAGTCAAAATTAACTTGTGAGGTTTAACTGAAGGGGTGTGGGAGTGTGTTCAGGGTGGGACGAGGTAGATGGGTTTATGGGAGGTTAGGGGGTAAGAACCGTAAATTTTACGAACGGGACACCGGAGCGCCTCCGGGTCATCCGATGACATGAGGTTCTAATGTCATGAGAACCCCACCGAGTTAACATATCACCTCAGGCCAATGTGTTTTGGGCATTAAGGGTTTTAATTTATTTTTTCTATTTATTACTTATTTTTATTCAGCAAGTCGGTCGTCTCTACCAACTATAATCGAGTCATTTATCGATCGATTTCAGTAAAATTAGATCTGTGATAAAATCAATGCGAAATGTATGTGTTTAGGAGCGCATAACGCTCAAACTCACATGTTTTTTTGAACCATCTTCTCCAATGGATATCGATGCTATGACAGAACACCCCGCTAAACCTACTCCACCGCCTTCTTCATCGGAACTCACAATCTGAGACGGAGAATCCTTTGTCTTGGAGGGTTTCTGTCCTAAGATGTTAGAGTCCATTGTAACAACCTAATCCGTTCAGGTCTGTAGCCCCTTTCGGACTAAAGTATTTAACTTGGTAATCGTAAAAATTTAAAACTTTTCAAACACATTTTATTTATCACAATAGTATCTTTCATAACATATACAGTACGAAGTATTCAACAATATTGCAGAAGCAAATTTAATGTTGACATATCATAAATCATTTCAAACTTGTCACATCCATTCCGACATTCTCGCCCCATCTGCCACCAGGATCACATTAATCTTTCTATTTACCTGCGTGTAGCAAATAAAACACACTACACGCTCAGCGGTAAAGCTGAGTAAGCATATCTAATGCGTCAAACATCCATATAAATTAAATCTAAATTCATAATCAAATCATTTGATATCATGCACACAATGTTCATTTCAGACATTCACAATTTTGGTATTGTTCAGTTCATAACAACACATTTTATTCAATTCAGATATTATTTCGACAGTGCTCCTAAAGTATTATTAATCTAAAGCCAGATAATAACAACGTTCTTAGCTATTCTTAATCTAAGGCCAGATCATAACAATGCTCTTAGCTAATCTTAGTCTAAGGCCAGATCATAATTTCCATAACGAGACTCCTAAACTGTGGTTAGTTTAAGGCCATTAACCAGACTCTTAAAAAGGCTATTAATAATCAGACACTTAAACTATCATTAGTTTAAGGCAATTGGTCTCGGACTCTTAACTCTAATCAGTTAAGGCAACAACAATATAGCGATTGATCAACGTTGGATCGAGGCATTCCCAAATGAGTGATCCTCCAGTTTGCTCTACGAATTCCGTTATTACATTTTTATCCAATCACCGAATATTCATGTTTCACAAATCCATACTAATATGAGATCTATTCTAGAGGTCTTCTAGATAGTCTTAACATCAATTATCTAAATGGGTATATCTTAGAGTTCTTCTAGATACCCTTAACATTATACCTCATTTCATAATTATCAATGTATTCATTTTACTCATGGTTCAATCATTCATAATAATTTTAATCAGCAGGCTCATTATTCATAATCATCCATAATAATTATTTTCCATAATCATCAATCAACATAACAATCGATAACAATTAGCGGCCTAGCCTCAAGTGTTAACACCCAAACTTACCGTCATGCATCATATAACATTTTTATTTGTTAAAAAAATCATTTTTATTGTGAAAACCATCTTTTTAATGATCATAATCAATTGGTATAAAAAATGGGATTTTAGAACTCAAAAATAGCAATTTCGGGCAAATTTTCGGATCAGAAATTCGGAGGATCGATCTAGCCCTCTGGATCGATCCATACTATGGAAAACTACTCCCAGGGGATCGATCCAAGCCCATGGATCGATCCAGATAGTGGTTTTTCAGCCACTGTTCATCTTCTTCTACCTCTCGAGTCCAATTTCAAAAATATTTTTTTTAGTTACCGAACTTCATCAAAACTATATAGAGATGTTCTCCAAGGTTCATAGATTATTTTGGCATCATTAATTCATAGTTTTAACATCAATTTCATGGTTTATGATTATTGGTTCTTCAAGCATGTAAAACACAAACTTAACCAAACGACTGTTTATGAACGTAGAAACGATCTATACGAACATCCTAGTCACTAGATATATCTACGGGCTTACCTCGGAGTTTATCGAAGGTTTTTAGAATTTTCCGGCGAAACTTCCGGCAACGATAATTCTCCACTCCGGCGACCTCAAGCTTTCTTGGCAACACCAATGAATTCTCCATTCAACAAGGAACATTGATAGTAATTTTGGCAAGTTTGGTGAGAAAATGGGAAGAAAAGATGTCTTTATATAGGAGGAGAAGGAGGATGCTGCCAATGAGCTCAGTCACTGATTATCGTAGAATTTCCTTAGTGTGCAAGACGGCGATTCCCTGAGATTTACACGTCGTTCCTTGATTGGGACAAATTTTGGTTCCAGTCGGGGTATACTTTTTTATCCAACTTTCTCCGAATTGAATTCTGTTTGCACCATTGCGATTGGATAATTAAACTCTATCCAACGATATAACTTTTATATTTATTTGTCATAGCTTTTCCGACATCATATTTTTGGGTGTTTGACTTTGACAGAGTCAAAATTGGTTTTATTGACCTTTACTTCAAAAAGGGTTCTTTCATTTAATTTATTTTATTTATTGTCATGATTTAACATTTCAAAGTTGACATCATAAACACATTATTCATTTATTCTTAATTTGAGTCTGTACTCAGGTTTCTAATCAAGATCACACCATAAGTCAATCATGTTGGATTTACCTTTATGAGATTTATCCCAATTATGTTTATTGGATATCAATACATATTTTATTTTGACCCAAAGCCCAATAACAATTTATTTTAATCAAAGTAAATTTGATTAATCGAATAATTATTCACTAATAGTTGTAGGGTATGTTTTGGGGCGTTACATCCATCCTCTGTGCAAGCTATAATCGAGTAAACTATGGATCGAGTGATTTGACAAGAGCGCGTTCGTGGTGAAATTAGAGAAGCAAAGTAAAATTTTATGGTTGTAAATAATGTAGAGGACTAGAGTAGAATGAAAAAATGCAAGTCACAAAAAAGCTTTCCGAAAGAGGATGAGTCTCATCTCTGATCCTTTGACACCTGTCCGGATGATCAGTGAAAGGAGTTAAAGTGAACTTTAATTACCCCTCTCATCCGACTTGCTGAATTTACCACTCTCGTCCTTGCTTGCTTTGTTAGGTACTCCATATATATCCATCCCTCCCTCTCTATTATTGTCCATGCAATTCATACCTGTTAAAGTGAACATCCGGATTCTAAAGTCAAAATTAACTTGTGAACTACAATTGAAAGAGAATAAGGGTTTGTTCGGATCGGGACGGGGTGAGGGGTTTACCGGGGGTTAGGGGGTAGGATTGTAGGAACCGTCAATTTTACGAACGTGGCACCGGAGCGCTTCTAGATCATCCCATGACATAGGGTTCTAATTTCATGGGACCCCATCGAGTTAACATATCATCTTAGGCCAATGTGTTGGGCATTAAAGATTTTAACTTATTTTTTCTATTTAATACTTAGTTTTATTAAAATTAGATCAAATTTAATCAAATCAAACCAGATTAGATCAGACCAGATCAAGTCAGGTCGAATCAAATCAGATCTAAACAAAACTATTATTATTATTACCATTATTATATTATTACTCCCTATGTCCCTAAATATATCTCACATTTTTATTACCAAGGTGAAATATCAAGTTTTTTTAATTCATTTTACTTACATATTGGTATAGAATTAAAAAATAAAATTTACATATCAAAAAACTACATGAAAAGTTTTTCGAAAAAGAGGTGTCACGAATATTTTATTTTATCAAATAACCAATGAAAACATAGAAATAAACAAAAGTTCCCGCTACTCCTGAAAAAACAAATGTGAGATATATTTAGGGACGGAGGGAGTATTATTATTATTATTATTACTATTAGAATTATTATGATCATAATTATTATTACTATTGTTATTATTATTTTACTATTATTATTACTATTACTATTTGTGACACCCTAATCCGTCCAGGTTTGCAGTCTTGCTCGGACTAAAATATTAACTTGGTAACGTAAAAATTTCAAACATTTAAAAACTTTATTCCAACAATTGTGCAAAATATTTCATAATAACATTGGAGTAAAATTATTTAAGACATACGGAAACGATTTACAAATTACATCAGAATTTTAAAAAATCAGATGAGGTAAACGGAACGCAACCTAACACGAGTCTGACCATAGATCACATATAGCGAAAGATCATTGCGTATGGGTGCAAAAAATTTAAAAGTCATCTCAATTTGCATATCTCGGTCTTTTATGTCTCACAGCTAGGGGTGTGCAACAACCGGTATGGACCGGAAATTAGACTTGAACCGGACCGGAATGGACCGGTCTGGTCTCCGGTCTTAATAAATTAGGGATTCCGGGTTCCGGTCCTGTCCGGTCTAAAACCCGGATGTAACCGGTCTGGACCGGAATGTTTCAATATATTATTATTTTTAATTTTTTATACCTATCTTCCTATCCACTAATCCAAACCCTATATTTATTATCCAGTGTTAATCAATTTGAATCACCTAGAGTCCGAGAGTCCAGCAATTAATCAATTTGAATGACCTAGGTCACCTGATATCGCAGATACTCCGAGTAGCGACGCACAGAGAGGCTAGAGCCGCAGAGGTCCAATTGATTTTTTCTTGTCGCCTTCTCCGTCAATCCGATCCTCCTTCACTGGTCTCCAACCTCGCTGCTCTCCTACGCCGCTAGCCGCTGCTCTCCTAAGGTCAAGCTCCCTCGCCGCTGCTCTCTTAGGATTTTTTAATATAACAAATCCGGTCCAGATTAGGGTAAAACCGGACCGGACCTGTAACC